TGGGAAGTGGTCAAATTTCATGTAAAATTTCATGTAGCAAAACAGTGAAATGCAGCTACCCCACAAATAACAAAATCTTTTTCTCATAGAATTGTCATCCTTTTTATGGGGTTTTTCTTTTGCCTCGTGTCCTAAAGAAATTAGACTTCTCTTACTGCCTCTGTTTGCATTCGTGCCTGTTTGTCAGAATGCTTTGGTAACTTCAGACTCACTGAGTTTAAACCAGTTTGAGAGAAGGGTGGAGGACACAGACATCCTGAGCTCCCACCCAGGGAGCTGGTGGGAGGAAGAGATGAGGGGCAGGCAAGGAGCATCCAGCTGCCCTCCTTCTGCTCAGCCTTTGCAGTACCAGCACTTGGCAGCACCTGGGCTTGGCACACCCAGAGTACTGTGCCAGCCAGAGCTGCTCCCAACTTCTTGCCCACCTGGCAGGCACAGGGATGGGGCACAGTTGGCAGGAGGGCAACTATTGCAGGAGGTCACTGGAACTGGCACAGTGAGGAAGAGCAGATCCCGAGTGGATGAGGGTGTGGGGAGGGAAGGTGCATGGAAATGTGGGTACACAGCCTTAGTTCAGACTCCATGAATTTTGCTCTTCAAGAAACAATTTGTGACTCCCTTTGTCTCTCAGGGATTCACAAGTGAAGGGAAAAGGAAGGCATGTGGGTTGTTATGTTTGTTAAGTTTTTATTCCTTTTATTCCTATGGGGCTAACATATTATTAATACCTCATCTCAAAAACTCTTATTACAGGGTAGGGCTGTAGGTGAAAATCTCTGGGGCACCCCAACTTGTTCTGCCTGTTCCTGTTTCCACAGCAATTCTTTTCCAGATCTGGGGGTTTGGAACCACTGTAAATCTCGGCTTAGGCACCTTTTAAAAAACATGAAAAAAAGGGGAGCACATGTGAGCAAGTCTTCTTTTTCTGGTGTAATGTGAATAACCACCTTCACCATACAGGGCCTGCAGCATGCTGCTGGTGTAAGAGACTGGGGGTGGGGAGCACAGTGTCACTGCAGAGAACATGCTAGCTCTCCAAAAGCAGAATTTGGCAACTTGTATTTTTTTTTCCCGAGAATATTTTTTTAAATCCTTTTCATAAAAGCCTATCCTGTAGTGCTACATTTCAACAAATTAAATTTCTTCTGTGCTTCTTTAAAGGAAAACTGCAGTAACATACCAGGTGTGCAATCTGGACCAGAAATTTTCAAAAGTCAAGAGCAAAGGACATTTAATCCTGACCAAGCAGATGAAACATTTGGTCTGAGAGCTGGAGAAAATTCAAGGTAATAATAACGTGCTCTGCATGTTGCAGTACATCTCCTCTAGCAGTTGGAGTCCAAAAAGGTCACATCAACCATGAGTGAAGAAAGAAAGGAAAACACTCAGCAAGGTGAATATTGCTCAGAGCATTAATTTTTCCATACCTTCTCCACAGCAGGGTCACAAGCAATTAAGGGTCCTCATAGTGGGAACACTTCCACTGACATACTTTACTCTCATCCACAATGTTTTTTGAAATTTCTTTGGAGATGTGGTGTGTTGTGATCCAACAAAACTAATTTTTATTTTCAAACTACCCTAGAAATTATTTTTTTCAGTCAAAATGTTAAATGTTTTTCCCTTCCATGCTCTCATTTTCTATGGGGTGACATGATCAGCAGCCTTCTATCTATAACTGTCCACTTCTCTCAGGTTACAGAAAAAAATACAGTCAAAGCCTCGATATTAATACTTACTCAATAAAGCTAGGGGTTATGAAAAAGGGATTGAAAAGTAAAAATGAGAACATGTGAGAAATGCCTTCCTGATCTTGAAGAAACAAAGCTGGCAACTTTCACATAAAAGTATTTATTTTAATATTTATGTACTCCTAAATGCTCTTCTGATTTATTTTCTCTTTGCAATTCAAGATAAATATCCAAAATTTTTGAAAAGAAAAAGAGCTGCTGTGTTAGAAGAAGTGACAGTGGTAATGTCATACATCAAAGTGTTGAGATGTCTCAGTCATATTCATCTGGGAATCAGAGTATTTCCCACCTAGCATCCAGTTAGAAGACCCCATGCACCACTGTACAGCTCTGCACTGGGGTACGCTGAGTCCCAGGGGATCCCCATGTTCCCCTGCTCTCTCGGTTACAGTGACTCTTCCAAAGGCACGGCACAGCCTTTGCACCTCTTCTGTCTGTTCACTTTTTATATCATGCCTGCTGACATGCTGTCTGAGTTCTTTGCCCATCTGAAATGCCATTTTATCTATGGGTATTGAATAGCACAATATTTCATATGCAGCCAACTGCATTTATTTGTGGCATGACTTAAATGGATGCTCCTGCAAGTCTACATAAAAATCACCTGTGTCTGTGAGCTGGAATTTGAAGGAAAGCAACAAAATGCACATTTCAGTATTATTTCTCACTCTTTGATGTTCTACTTCAACATCAAATTCAGTTTTCTATTTTCTTGTCAATAAAGAGAGAAGATTTCATTTTTATACTACTGCATTTGTATACTTCTGCATGGATAAAATAAGCATCACTTTTTAAACCAAGCAATGTTTTAATATTCTTTTAAGGAAATTTATATGTGCTTATCTATATACATATTTATAGTTTTAACCCACTCAAATACTTGTTTTCTGTCATGTGAATTTTCCAAAACAACCATTCATTTTTAATTTCAGCAGGACAGGACCATCTGCTGTGTCCTGCTGTGCTCCAGGCTCTCTCCTCAGCCTCTGATAAAGCCCACACTCTTCACACTAGTGCCTTCCTTTGCAGTACCCCGACCCTGCTGCACCTGCCTCTCATTCCTCCTCATCCTCCTCTGACTCATGAGGAACCCCTCTGGATTCTTTCAAGACCACCAGCAAGGGTGGTCTGTGCCTGGCAGCCCCTCACTGAGGGCAGCAGGGATGCTGCAGATGAGGCTGCACGGAATACCCCAGATGGGTACAGCAGGAGAAAATCCTTCTTCCTCTTCCATGGGGAGACAGAAAGGATTACCAAATAAATTGCATTTAAATCAGTTAAATCAGAAGAAACCCTGTCTGCAAAATTAATTGTGGGCAGTGCTAGTGGGTAAATAGTTTTATATTTTGAAATGTCCTGGGATTTTTAGATGTCTGCAGGAAACAGCTTAGCATGAGTGAAAGATGAAGAACTGAATTGGTGAATTGGGGTCCTAGCTTTGTGTCTTTTAGAAAAGGTGCTTTACATACCAATATGGCATTTGTAGACATTTAAAACCCTGTAGCAATACCAATATGGCATTTGTAGACATTTAAAACCCTGTAGCAATACTGAACCCTGAAGCTGTGTTTCCTGACAGAAACTGAATGCCACTTGGAAAGGGTGAATGTATCAAAGGCTTCCCAAAGTGGCATCCCTGAATGGCCACAGCAGTCACATTCATGGAGAAGTGTCTTGTCTGGTTCGTGGAAACTTCATTACTTTGTTGCTGTTTTGGGAAGTTGTTGTTGTGTCCTTTTTATAGAATCATAGAATAACTCAAGTTGGAAGGAACCAATAAGTATCGGCAACTCCATGTTTCTCACAGGATTACCTGAAACAAAACCGTACAACAAAGTGGCATCCAGATCCATGTTCCTTGAACTCTGTCAGGCTTGGAGGAATGACAAGTTCCTCAGGGAGAAGTGACTGACCAGCCTCTCACTTAACACCCTTTTTCTAATGACCAACCTGAACTTCCCTTGATGCAGCTTCCTTCCATTTCCTTGTGTCTTGTCACAGATCACAAGAGAGAGTTCAGCATCTGCCCCTTTGCTGACACTTGGAGGAAGTCATTGGTCCCACTCAGGTCACCCCTCAGCCTTCTCTTCTGCAAGCCAAACCCAGCAACCACAGCCACTCCTCATTACATCTTGCCCTCAAGACCTTTCACCATTCTGGCTGCCCTTGTCTGGACACAGCCCCATAGCTTTATATCCTTTCTTACACTGTGCTGCCCAGAACTGCCCCCAGATCTCGAGGTGAGGCTGTCCAGCTCAGAGCAGAGCAGGACAATCCCCTCCCTTGCCCAGCTGGCCACGCTGTGCCTGATGCTCCCTAGAACACCATTGGCCTTCCTGGCTTCCAGGGCACTGCTGACTCATATCCAACTTTTCACTGACCTGGATCCTCAGATCTGTTCCCACAGGCTGTTCTCCAGGCTGTCATCCTCTGATTTGTATGTATAAGCAGGATCACCTGTCCCAGGTAAAGAATCTGTCGCTTGCTGTCGTCAAATTTTGTATGCTTGGTGTGTATACCCAGCCCTCTAGTCTTACCCACATCTCTCTGCAGGGCCTCTTCACCTTGGAGGGAGACCACAGCTCCTCCTAGTTTAGTATCATTATCAAACTTACTTAATGTAAATTCATTTCCTGTGCTCAGATAATTTATAAAAACCTTACAGAGCTCTGGCCCTAAAATGGAGCCCTATGGAACCCCACAGGTGACTGGCTGACAGTCTGATGTAACCCCCTTTACTCTAACACTTCAAGCCTAACCTGTCAGTCAGCTGCTCACACAGGCTATTGTGGACTTTTCTAGCTGCATGCAGGATATTTTGTCCAGAAGGACACTGTGAGAGACAGTAAAACACCTTTTGATTTCTGATAGCATTCTTATAATTTTTTTTTCTGGCACTTTCAAAGACATCAGGATAAAGTGCCAGTGGCCCAGCTGAAAGAGAATGACAGGAAATTCAGCAGCTTTAACGGTTCACAACAATTTCTGTCTGCTTGCCAATGAAATAAACATCCTTAGATTATTGTGGCTGTGGAATTAAGATGCAGATGTGGTGCATAACAGCTCCTGCAAAGAGATGTATTACACAAATCATTAAAATCACTGAAAAGATTAAACGAGGCAAAGAAAACTGGGACTAACACTGACCTCAAACAATTTCTCTTCTTGTTTCTGCCTAATCAGATGATAAATTAATTAAACCGCTTGCTCAGGTGTTGCTCACGCTTTCTGAATTTTTGCCTGCTGCAGGGATTGTGTATGGGTGGAGATGGAGACCTGGGTCTGCTCAGCACAAAGAAGAGGAGTCTCACTGGTGTCTTCAACCACCTAACAGGAGGCTGTGCTGGAGTGTGGGCAGCGGGGAGGGCAGCAGGCACAAGCTGCAGCACTGGAAATGGACGCGGGAATTTCACGCCTGGCCCGTACAAACCAAGAAGAGAGGCTTGGACACAAAGGAGAGTGAAGGGTACAAGAGTTACAAAATGTAATTATTTGATGTTACAAGACAAGTGACTTGTAACATAAAGTTACAAGAGTTATTCTTTTTTTGAGGTGCCTGACATGTCTCATTCAAATTGGGGCACCACAAGTGTGGCTTTACATGCAGTTTTGAAACCTTTCAAGCCTTCAGATACAATATGTTTCAATTAATGCATACGTAACACACATACTACTGGAAAGCAACTGGAATTGTGTGGTGTCATCGTTCATTTGCTTCTTTCATGATCTAGACATCCCTCATGCTGGTCTTAGAACCATAGAATTATTATGGTTAGACAAGACTTCTAAGACCATCAAGTAAAATAACTGACCCAGTACTGCCAGGTCCACCACTAAACCATGTCCTTAAGTACCACACTTGCACATTAGGTTGCCCAGAGAAGTTCTGGGTGCCCCATCCCTGGAAGTGTCTAAGGTCAGGTGGGGGAGGCCTCTGAGAAACCTAGTCTAGTGAAAGCTGTCCATGGTAGGGGTTTTGGCACTAGAGGATGTTTAAGATCTCTTCCAACCCACACCATTCCACGATTCTGTGATTTTTTGAACACATCCAGGGATGGTGATTCCACCACTTCCCCAGACAGCCTCTTACAATGCCTGAAAATCCCTTCAGTGAAGAAACTTTGCCTAATACCAATCTAAACCTGCTCTGGTGCAACTTGAGGCTGTTTCCTCTTGTCCTATCTCTTACTACCTAGGGGAAGAGATTACATCTATCCCACTACGATCTCCTTTCTGTTAACTGCAAAGAGCAATAAATCCCACCCCCAGCCTCCCTTACCCCGGGCTAAACACCCCGAGCTCCCTCAACCTTTCCTCGTACGACTTGTGCTCCAAACCCTTCTCTGGACACGCTCCAGCACATCAGTGCTCCCCCCGATTTCCTGGGGTAGCATCACTCCGAAGCTACCAGCGGGGGCCACGCACGCCCTCCGCCTCCCGCGGGGCTTTCGGCTTTTGTCCCGCGGGGAGGCGGAGGGCGAGGTGCCCCGGCCGCGCCTCGCCTCGCCCCGCCCGCCGGGACCCCCCCTCCGCGTCCCGGCGCCGCAGCGGAGGTCGGCGCTGTGCGTGGGGGCGGCGGGGGCGCCGCGCAGCCTGCCCGCCGGCCTGGGCTCCCTGTGAGTGCGGGCAGCGCGGCCCGGGACGGGCAGGAGGGTGGCGAAGGGATGCGGGGCGGTCCCGCCTGACGGGCGGCATCTCTTTTTCCAGGAGCCTGGTCAACGGGACCTTCTCCGAAGTCAAGGACAGGATGTTTTCCCACCTGCCCTCCCTGCAGCTGCTGTAAGTATGGCACTGGGAAGGAGCACGGCCAAGTAGCACTTCACCCCTTCCTCCGAAATAGAGTCCCTTTAAGCATAGAGCTTCTCAGTTTCTCCTAAATAGAGTTCCCTTTCTCTTGTAGAAAGGGAGAAAACTGGAGAAGACAGCTTGCACAGTCCCTCAGCCTAGCTGCCATTTCATAACATTTTGCTCAGGGATGCATTTTCTACTCAGAAACCGCTTCATAAAATGTGTATTTAGTTACTAAAGGAGGGAAAAATGTTTTATGATGCCCTAAGTTCCTCTTTCTTTTAACTTCAGCTTTAGTAAGTTTGAGTTTTGTCCCCCAGAGTTATGTGGCGGTAGCTCTCACTCCAGCTCACTTTGTGCCCAGGAGTCTTGCACTGGCTTTGTGACACAGTGGGCACAGTGGGGTGAGCAGAGGCTGCCAGAACACCCTTCAGAGGGAATCCTCTGTGTGTGAAGTGCTGGTGTTGTCTGCAGCACGGTGCCGCTTGGAGGGTGGCCCCTCAGATGCCTTGTGACCCAGCGCTCCTCTGTCCCAGGAGACAGCGCTCTAGCTCCCAGCACTTAGCAGCCATCCCTCCTTCCTGACCCCAGGCAAGCTGCTTGGTCTGCCCATGTTGCAGTTAGGTGTGTGCCTCCTGCTCCAGGAGCTTGAGCAAACTTGCTTAATTTAGCTGTCCTGGGAGGCAGCAGGGAAGATACAGACACTGCGGTACAACCCCCCTGGGGAGCCTGGATGCTCACTCCTCTGGCAGGCTGCAGCGAGGCTGAGCAGCAGCCTGCATCCTGCCTAGCCCAGTGCAGCCTGTCCAGAACTCCTGATACCAGGCAGGCCCTCCACACCTCCACCCCAAAAGGACCGACTGACCCCTGCCAGGCAAAGATGCACTGCAAAGAAAAATTCAGCAAAAAGATCCAAAGCCTGCCAGAAACCCAGACTGAGTGCTTGCCACATAACTAGATGTTAAAACTGGTCTTAGCAAGAGGTGCTCTCTAAAGGTGTCTGGTAGCTGATGGGCAGCTCCTCTCCTTGGGCATCCCATCTCCTTTGACTCAAAGGCCTGTCTTCCTACTGGGAGGAACAGCATTCCATGCAAAATGCTGTGGGGAGGTGGGCAAAGCAAGGGGTGGAAGCCTTCACCTCCTTTAGTGTGAAACTGTTCCCAAAACCAAGTTTCTGTGAGTTTCAGCACCGAGCTCCCAGCAGAGGACACGAGGACCTTGCCCACCAATGAATGGTGGCAAACACCACCTGTGCCAGCTGGGAAGGAAAGGGAGAAATCCATGAGTGAGAAGCTGTGGGTGGAAAATTAGAGCTGGGGGGAATCTAGCTAGGTTTGGATGGTGCCACTAGGAAGAGGGAGGAAGAGCAGATAAAGACTGTCCCTTTTCTTTAGCTGCAGTAGATTTTGTGGAGATGGTGGGGCAGAGGTGGGTTGTTGAGGAAGGCAGAAGTTGCTCATGTCCCTTTATGTGGTAAGTCAGATACGGAAGCAAGAAGTGGTCACCACCATCACCACCTTGGGCACTCACAAATTCTGTTGTTTAGTGCAATTTGTAACTTTTTCCTTAAAACATGAGAAAAAAAAATAATGATTATAAATAACAAAGAGCTAAAAAACAAATATAAAAAATAACAAAGAGCTGCATGTATAATTGAGCACATGGGCACCTCAGGACAATGTCTCCTGTGGCAGTAATCATGGTAAAATAGTAATGCAAGGATTTATTTTTGATGGTGGTCTTCATTTTTGTCAGATTTCTTTGGGATAATTTAAGGAGCATTTGTCTAGTATTAACATAATATCCAGGGATCACAGGGAAAGTTTGCATTTCATGTTCATTAGTCTTCTAAATTAATTTTAGTAAAATGCCTAAAACCATACAAAAGGAAGATTAATCAGTTGCTCTAATAAAGCAATTAGTGCAGACATATTCATTCATAGGGCAAATTCTGAGATTTTCCAAAAATTATTTCTTCTGAGTAGTGTTAATATTTTAGACCAAACTAGAAGTTTTGCTATTTTCTTGAAAGGAGATTGCCCTCTTTGCCTTTGAACACCAAAGTCTGGAGATTGTCTGCTGTTGTGCTTTAATACAGCAATGCATGAACTCTGCTGGCAAAGCCTCCAGATCCTCCTTCTCCCTGGCTGTCTTGTGCTGGCTCAGGTGACAGCCTCTCTGGTGCAGCTCTGACATCTTTTGTCCCTGAAGTTCACACAGGAGTAGGGCAAGGCAGCGCCTGGAGGAGGCAGCACTGCAGCTCCTCCTCACCGCCCGTGGACACAGCGCTCTGCTTTATAAAGACAGCAGGATTCTCTGTCTCGGTGGTTTGGACACGTCTGTGTTTCCAGCTGACAAACTGGCTGCTGTCCTCCCACGCTGCAGGCTGTACCCTGTCTGCAGGTCAGGCTTGGAGCATCCCCCCGGGAGCGTGGAATGAGTGAGCGCTGGCCCAGTGAGACTGCATAAATGGGAGCTGGTGCTTGGGAGCCCAGGACTGGTGCTCAGGTGGAGAGAGACTGCATAAATGGGAGCTGGTGCTTGGGAGCTCAGGACTGGTGCTCAGGTGGAGAGAGACTGCATAAATGAGAGCTGGTGCTTGGGAGCTCAGGACTGGTGCTCAGGTGGATTCTTACAAGTTGTCAGCGGGGCTGGAGGGGTGGTGAGTGGGTGGGGCCACACTCAGCAGACCTGCCATCTAATGATGGCTTGTTCTGCTCAGTGGGCCATAGAGTTGAGGACTAGGTCACATTTAGCCAAGGTCAATGGCACAATTTTCCTGGGGAGTAGTGGACATTAACTACCATCATGTAATGCCTTTTAATTTTTTTTCAATAGACCATTCCATAGTATTTTATGTGTGCTGCTTTGGTGGGGTGATATGAGCTCAAGTCAGTAAGATTAGTTTGGTCATGGGCAATAAACACAACAGGCATAATCCAGTGTGTCAAGTTTTAATGTGCTTTCCTAATGCCTGCTCTCCATTTTCAGCTTGCTGAACTCCAACTCCTTCACTGTTATACGAGATGATGCCTTTGCTGGTCTCTTCCATCTAGAATACCTGTAAGTTTGGTATTTTATGTCCTTTATAAATAAAGATGTTTTGATAAGTTGCCAAGACTCCTGCTGCAGAGTCTTGATCTTTACTGTTATTCCCAAGAGCAGGGGAGCTGAAGGATTTATGTTCCACTCCTGTGCACATATCCTTTATGGTGGCTGACGATTTTTCAGACGTTACAGTGCATTTTTAAAAGATGCCTTGAATACAAGGTATCTCTGTGCAAATACAGCACACCAAAAAGGCATTGCTTAGCAAGAACTTGCCTGGGCTTTCCAGAACAGTGCCACCCCTGTTAAGGGGATTTGAATCTCAGGGAAGAGGTGGAGCAGTCTGTTCTGACCTATGGGCAGCCTGAGCAGGAATTGCAGAATATTGGTGTACTGTCCTGAACAGCCCTGATTCTGCTTCTCTTCTCCCAGGTTTTGCCTCCTACTTTGCCTTTTTTCTGATACCCTGTTTAATGTCCATAGACTTTACCTTTAATTAATTATAAATACATAAATATACCTTTCATGTAATATATATTGTTGTAATTATTTATATTATTATTATTTTAAAATATTTAACTGTCTTTTTTGTTTATATTATTCACTTAGTTAATTGATTTTTCTGGTCTTTTTTTTTTTATTTTTAGTTCACCGTTTTTCTTTTAAAAAAAAATATTAGCTCTGGTACAAGGCTGTCCTCCCTTCACACTCCAAAGGACAGCATTTCTCTGTGTTACTCAGTATGAGCTGGTGTGTTTGAAAATATGAATGTGGCCTGAAAAAAATCCTCATTCCACCCACCTTTCCAAGCTGAAATGTAGCTGTGGAAAACATTTGTCCTTTTTACAGAAAGACCAATGCTTATAAAACTGACTCTTGCTGAAATCTTGAAGGCAAATAGATATTATGATGGGGTATATTAAGGGTTAATAGTCTGGTACATGTGGAGTAGCCAACAATGGAATTTGCAGCTAATGGTAAATGGTATGTGCTAAAATCCATGCTTCAGCTACATCTGGATTTTTCAGAGATAACAAGTTATCCAAGCATTCTCTTTTCTTTGTGTCTACAGGGAGAAATTATTTGCAGTGGTTTGTAAAAAGGAAAAAAAAACCATTTTGCGTTGTACCATTAGCAGCCTGCTTTCAAGTGCTGATGGGCTTGTCCCAGCAGCATAGCATACACTGTGGTAGTTGTACTGGTCACTGCAGGCAGACCCCTGTCTGAATGAAACACCCTGCCCTCCTCGGGTGGCCAAAGGGCAAATCTCTGTCCCTGGCCACCAGCTGCAAGCCAGGGAGCAGGATGGAGACTGGTAAAGCCTTACAGTTTAAATTATTTTAGCAGCTGAGTAAGTGGTCTCAGTTAATGGTTGTGGTTGCCTTTTCTGCCAATTCCATAGAGCTTTTCCTCTTCCCAGCAAATCACCCCTCCACCTTTTGGGAACTGGCTGTGGGTGGCCTTTCTCTGTGATTTGGTTCTTTGGCCAGTAAAACCAGTACAGCTTCCATAAGTCGTGTCTCTCAGTTACCAGGGACCAGACTTTGTAGAGAAGAAGGAAACCTCAATGATAAACAGGAATGACAAGTGTCTGTCTGTACAAAGCCAAAGTCTCTGGCCGAAGAGTGGCTGGGGAGCACCCACAGCTGATACCTATGTATAGATAATATATATCCAACTGTGTCCTGTTGCACTTGCAGCACTCATAATGGCATTTAATGCACCCTTAAACTAACTCTGTGTGCAGAGTCTGGGTGAGACAGGTCTGATAAAGATGAGAGCTTTGCTGGTGAACAGACTAGAATTCCCAGAGTAGCATCTCTTGGAGACCAGGCTTGGTGATTCAAGAATCTGGCAAATTCCTGAGTCCCAGCTTGTAGCAGTGTAGCCTTGTTTATTTGCACAGACCACTGAGCTGGTGCTGTGCAGGGATGCCAGCTGCCAGTGAGGGTGTCAGGAGGCAGGGTGGCTCTCTGCTCTTATGGATTGAATTTGTGGCTCCACACAGCCCTGAGAGGACTGACCTGCCTCTGACATCTCCCATGTAGACACAACACTTTCTCATCTGCACCCTTTGCTTGCAGTCAGGGTCCCAGGCACTTCATGAAGGATATTTCCTACATCTAAACTGTGGAACCAAGAGCATTTGTCATCTCCTGCATTCCCTTTATCACTTTCTTGAGAAGAAACCTTGTATCATAGCATTTTTTCCTCTAACATCTCTGCAGGTCAAACAGAATAAGGGAAGTACTTTCATCTCACAAGCCTTTCATAAAGTCAGCATACTGTTGTCTTCATGCAGGTATAGCTGTATCGTGCAATATCTTGACGGCCACCTGGCTGCAATCACTTTGCAGGGATGGATCATGGTGTATTTGGGGATGTGTCCTCAAGTGCTCAGGGGTCAAGATGCTCAAATGTCAGCTCTTTCTTGAAATGCTGATGTGCAGTCAGGAGGAGCAGCGTGCTGCTGGAATCGATATGTGCCTGTCATTATTCCCCCAGTGCACAGGGCTGTGACTTGTGTGCAGCTGGCACCCTGCAGAGATGTCCCAGCTGGACAGAGCTGAACTGTGGCAGCCAGAACTGAACCAAGGCAGAGGTCTTGCCATTTGTGCACATGTCAAATGTGTCAGTTCAAGTCAGGGCTGTGTGGGTGCGGAGGTGGCACTGTGTGCGTGTGCTGCCACGGGAGCAGGAGCCATCAGAGCAGCTCTGCAGCCTGGGCAGCCCTGGCACCTCTGTGCTGCCCGCTGGTTTCAAAATGCTGCTGATTTGTGAGAGGGGAAAGTAGGACTTTATCTTCTAAAGTCTGCCTCAGAAGGCTCTTCTACACAGGTCTCTTGCCTCACACAACATATCCTGAGAGGATTACCAAGAGAGAAATATTTTTTTTTGCCTTGTTCACTTTATTCCATTTCTGCTGGGCATTTGTGTCATGTGCTATCCATTGTGATGCCAGGTACATGCATTGTTCCTTGCAGTCTGCCCAAGGAAAGGGGAAAAGGGAACATGAGCAACTCCACGGAGACTTCCCACTTCTCAGTCTGAAGAAACTGCCCAGAAATATGCTGCATCTGGCAACCATAGCTTAAAGCACAGTGGTGCTAATAATAATGTTACTTAAAGTATTTTAAAATACTCTTTTTTTGGCCTAGATTTATTGAAGGAAACAAAATTGAAACCATTTCAAGAAATGCGTTTCGTGGCCTTCGTGACCTGACTCACCTGTAAGTTATTTAACACTTAATAGAGTAATTTCTACTTGAACAAAATTCTCCTGGGAGACCACTGGTTTTCCTGCTACACAGAAAACGTTTCTTCCCTCTGTGTCAGGTTCCTACTGCTGTCAACAACATCCTTTCCATAAATTAAGAACCAGCCTTAGAGCAATTCTTGCCTGGGCAGCACTGCCACATGTTGGGCTGCCTGTGCGCAGGCACAGCTGGGTCTGGGATGCCCCTGGTGCCCAGTGCTGCACTGGTACCACCACCAGCACCACACTGCCTGCTCATGATTAACATTCCTGCTTCTCTCCAGTGTGCTCAGCGATTGCTCTGTGGGTTACATTTGCACCTGGGCAAAAAAAAAAAAAAAAAAAAGCTTTAAATATTTTACTTTCATGTGAACTTCAAGCAATCTCCATTCTTGAATGAGAATAATTAATGCCTATTCCTGGTAATTTCTAACAGTGCCAGTGGCTGGACAGTACTGGATAATTAACAACCTGTAAGTGAGCTCAGACTTTGTAAGAATTGCAAGGTAAGAGATAGCAATGATACTAAGCTCTAACTTTCTTTTCTAGTTCGTTGGCAAATAACCACCTCAAAGCTTTGCCAAGGGATGTCTTCAGTGATTTAGATTCTTTAATTGAACTGTAAGTAATGAGAATCTTTCTACTGCTTCTGTCAATCTTGCTCTTAGTTTTAGGTGCTGGGTGTGTGGTGCTGTATCTGGTATCTACACAGAAAAAAAATTGTATTTTTTGTTCTGTTTTTCATTATATAATTATTTGCTTGATAGACTCTTCTAAAGTAACTACTACTTCTTAAATCACTGTTGCTTCTTATGATGCTGTGTGTAACTTGTGTTATTGCACTTCTTTCTGATGTCTTGAAAATTGTGTTTTAGAGAAAGGGAGACAATGAATTTTAAAATGATGGTTTCTCTGAACATATTTCCCTATTATTGTTGCATATTCCCCGAGATTATTTTAGTACAAGGGATTAGTTTAAAAAACAAAACAAAAAAACCTTATTTTCCTTGTTTCTGTGCAGTTGTAGCAGTTTGCTGACATTCTGTCAGTATTTTCCTGTGTACCTAGGATTCCCCTATTTTTGGCCTGGCTCTTCCAAACAACAAAGTAAAATCATAAGCCACAGAAATTGCCAAAGCATCAAAAAACAAGTATAGTGCTGAAATTGTACATACATGAGCTGGAAGAAGCTAAATTGACTCTATATCAGCAGCAACTCAAAAAATACAAGTCTTACATCTGTATTTTACATCTGCAAGGCTGCTCTGTCAACCAGCAGTACTGGAAGAGTTTAGTGAAGGAATGGGAATTCTCTGTGTCACTGGTAAATGGTGCAAAGGAGGCCTTCAGCAGACAACCTGAATGTCAGGATGTATTACATTACAGTCCTCATCCTATGAAAACTTACCAAAAAAGTAACTTTACACATGAATCACAGTGCTCCATTACTATGATTATATATGACCATAGAACGCAACAGTTTTTCAAAAAACCCACTGAAAGAGAGCTCATGATAAAGCAATGCAGATAAAACTTAAGAAACGTCCCCGTTTTCAGTTCAGAACAATTCAAGGATACTCAGATATTTTGAAATTCAGCATGTCAAGGTGATGACAGTTCTGTAGTACTCATATTGCTATCAACCTTTTCAAATATGTTTATTTCTGTGTGTTTTTTTAGAGATTTAAGGGGCAATAAATTTGAGTGTGACTGCAAAGCCAAGTGGTTGTTTTTGTGGTTAAAGATGACAAATTCCACTGTTTCTGATGTCCTGTGTATTGGCCCAGCAGAATATCAGGATAAGAAGTTAAATGATGTGACAAGTTTTGATTATGAATGCACCACTACAGGTATTCAGAATGTATATTTCTAAGCACACTACAAATGGTTAAATATCAGAAGTTTAGATTATGCCCTTTCGCCTCTATGAGCATGACCTGGGGGGAGGAAAGGGTTACATACAAAGCACTTCCAAGTACTAGAACAAGTACAAAATGGGAAAATTACATTTAGATGCCAAAGTATGTACTGAGTTTTTATTTGGATTAACTGATAATGGGAGAAGAGCTCTGCCTATTCATATTCCAAAAGACTTGATTATGACTCAATTTGTGGCTTAATTTTCATCACAGAATGCTTTTTATTATCTGGAATAAAGCCATATAGTTATAGCAGATGGGCTTCCCAAAATCTCTGTATTTCACAGAAAGCAATGAAAATAAGTTCAAAAACGTGGCTATAGCTGTTATCTTTATTTGATAAATCATGATTTATTAGCATCAAAGATGGTGGCAATAGTGCCAGAATTTCTTCAGGGAACTCCATTAAGTTGACAAGAAAAGTCCAATAATATTCTGACTACTGTCTTGCCTAGAATCTTGATTTTTTTTATTTTTTAAGGTAATGTAAAGCATGCTGAAGGGAGTGAAGAGAAATTTGCATGTGGTTATGCTCATATTTTATGCCAAAACTGCTGCAGTTACCCATCTTTAAATGTAGTCACATCATATAACTGAAAATATCAGCAGCGGGTATTGTTTTTCATCTTCTTTGAATAGGATGTCAGTGCTCTGCCTTTTTTCTAGACAGTAATATCAAAGGTGTGCAAGTTCTCATCTGTCATCAAGTCAGTCATTATTATTAAAAGACAAGAAAAAAGCTGATTACTAGTAATGTAAAATGAAATTTCAGGAAAAGGTATGAAAGGTGCTTTGATGGCAATATGTGAAGGAAAAGAGAACGAACTCAGAATTCAAAATTATGTCACAAGAGCAGCAGAGGTAAAGTGCAATAACCTGCTGCATAAAAGAATGTCAAACACAGGAGAGCAATGAAGTTTAGAACAGCACCAGAGTTACGTTCCTACATCTGCCAAATCACCGAGATGCAGCAATGCAAAGTAAAAGCAGGCTTTATTTCATTGCAGTCTGGTTTAAGCCATTGTGTAGCACTAACAGTGCCCAAGAGAAAGACAAACCTGGTCCACAAACCTATCCTGACCTACCAGCCCTCTGTCGCTTTTTTGTACCAAGACGCTGTAAAGTTGCTCCAGGCAAAATTCACCCTTAACATTGTCCCTCTGTCTTCTGTAAGTGAAATTACACCAAGCATCAGTCTAACTCCACATGCTGCAGAGTTTTAGGGAACCAAAGGCGTTCCATGGGGCAAGGACAGCCCAGCTGAATATTTGCTCAAATGCCCTCAGAGAAGCTCCACAGCACTGCATGGTGCTGTCACATTCTGCTCTCTATGACCTTGGTGGTCTGTGGTGTCAGACCACTGCTGTTTTCTCCTTCTCTGCTATGGCCTCCCCCAGATCCAAAGGGAGTGTAAATATGCCCATATTCCTTCCCTGAGGATAGATTAGTCACAGGCTTAGCATACACACTGTAGGTGTATTCTCCTTTCCCAGTCAGTGGTGGGTAGGGCTCTGCAAAGCTCTTTCATTCATGTTAGTCTTCAGTATAGTATTTCTCTCCTTTGCCAGCTGGGATCAGACTTTCCATCATTTCTGGTCTCCAGTACTCTGTGTCGAGCACGACTGGATGCAGGATGTAGCAACAAAGCAGTTTGCTTGGTAAAATGTGTGTCTTGTTGGCCCAGTCAGATCATTGCATGAGCTGAACTGCTACAATGGTAACAGGAGAGATGGAAAGAGGTGCTGCCAAATTTAAAATAAAATGGCAAAGAACAAAATGGTCCTGTTGCTTCTTCACAGAGAAAGCGATTGACAGTACTGGTGACCTGCATTTTAACTCTTTTTGTGATAGCATCTGTCTTCTCCATTTCTCAGTGCTTACATCATGGAAGCAGGTTAAGCCGTTTCACTTCATTTCTTGTCTTTCTTCCTCAACAGTGTGTGAGGGGGCTGTCCTGTGGCTGAGAGCACCACAGGGAACATGTGACTCACTTTCAGGAGACTGGAAAACAGGCCTCGGGCTCCCACAGCCACTGGAAAGAGGCCATGTGCATGCCTGGGACCAGCTTTGCCCAGACTGCAAGAAGGGATCATCTCACTGAGCTTTGGAAGCTTATTTCCACCTTTCTTTACCTAGCTGGGATTGTCTTCTGGAGGTGCTCTTCTCTTTCCCTGCTGTCTGGAAGGGAGGTAGTTTGCATATAGTAGCTACTGCTCCATTCTTGCTCCTGTTCTGGAGATCTCCTATGGTGGGAGAAGGGAAAGGATGGTCAAAACTCCCTGCTGGCACACCCAGGTCCGGATAGTCCTCTGCAAGGAGGAAGGGATGTGAGGAGAGTGGGACTGAATGGCAGGATACAGCTTTGGAGCAGCTGCCCAACACAGACCATCACTTACATTTTTACTTAGTGTCCTATAATGCTCCCTGCACTCTCCTGTGCTGGCATCAGTGCTCCTGTGTGCTGGGATCAGCCCGAGCAAGGGCTGCCAGAACGAAAATCACCCCAATAAAAGTATTGGGCCCCTCACCTGTGACACCATGATGCCAGCTCAACCACAGAGGGAGCAGAAGTGGAAGAAGTGGCTGGAGGACAGGGGGACAGCCCCACTGTAAGCCAGCAGAAAACAGCATGAAAACCATGTGTCTTGAGACAGGGAGAGCAAAACTGTGTATTGGGGGGAGGGAGAGAGGGACAGCTATGCAGCCAGCAGCACAGGGAGAAAGTGTGGGCTGTGTCCTCTGCCCTCTTCCATCCAGGGGATCCAGCTTAAAAGAGAAAGATATTGGAAAAGGGCTCCTCCCCCCAGTCCTGTATTTACTGTATTAGAATTTTTTGCAACCCTGATGTGGCAGCAACTTTCACTGTGTAACCCTCTTCTACATTACAGTCTGGTATTCCCACCTGGTGCTAAAACCAATGTTTATTGCTTTTTACTGATTACAAATGATTTCCCTACCCATTTTCACATACAGACTGGTTTGTTTCAATTCACAGATTCCCCCGAAGAGTTTCACAGCTGTTCAGATTCCAAGAAATGTCTTTTCAGGATTAGTTTTCTGGGGTTTTTTCCCCTCAAGATTTAAAAAATATTTTTATTTTGTGTGACTGTATCTGCTCTTACTCCATCCTTTTATAACTGGTCAGTTACCTTTACTTTTTGCATACTTCAGTGTTAGTTTTCCCCAGCCCTTTTAGTTTCCCAGTGAATGAAGATAACTTTCTTGTTTGCCTACCAGCATTTATGAACCAAGCCCAAGCTCTGTTTATAATAGCCCTCGAAGAATGAAGACTGTCATTTCTTTCACAGCTGTGGAATCTGCTCTGTTTGTTTAATGGTAGTCATCTATCTTTATTCTCCACAAGTGTAACTCCTCAAGGGCAAGGCTTTCAAGCATGCAGAAACAGAGGGTTCTTCATTCAGAAGCAATTATTTCATAATGCACCAAAATAAGGGACTCGAGTGAGGACTTAATTACCATTTCACCAAAATCCCTGGATGCTCAGGCCCTTCCAACATAGCAATGCATGGTGAAGGCTTGTAGCAAATGGAGCTAAAAACAGTGCAGAGCAGAGCAGTGGTTCTGCACAGAAATGCCATCATAGGGAAGTTGCCTTTCCTTTTCTATGTGTCTATATCCATACACGACTTCAATGCAAGCCTCTGAACACACTTTAGACCTGAGTGCTTTGTCAGCTCTGCTACACCATTCCCCCCCCCCCCCCCCCCCCCCCGATAATAGAGATCTTGCACAGCTGTCTGGTCAAATGTCAAATTCAGACCCAAATCTCCTCACTTTGCCCCAGACTGGCTCTGTGGTGACTGCTGACATACTCCAGGGTGAATTTTCAAGTTAACTCTACAAAGGCAGGTTGCTCCAATTTCTCAGTCTTATTGTCTAGTACAAGTTTTCCACTGGATAGTAATTTTCAGGTTGGTTGTATTTTATGCCTAAACTACATTATAATGCCCCATAAAACATTATGTTAACTGAGTTTTTGATTACACCATTTTGTCTATGGTCTAGGCAAAATGGGGTTATCCCCAGGCAAACTTCAGATATCATTTCACTTTCTGCCTGGTTTAGCATAACACAAATTGCTAGTGATTAAATTTGCATGACTTAAGAAGTTATTGGACTTCAGCTGGTAGTTGCTGTCTCTCAGCTTGAATGTGATTCTAGCAAGGCCATTTCACTTGACGGGAAAGCAACTTCCAGCTGTGGGGAAAAGAGACTTCTAAATTTCACTGATAGTAGCCAGCCTGGCTGGAAAATCTGAATTATTTCACTCTTTACATATTTGAGCTCCTTGACAAATACATTTTCAGAGGACAGTTCATGATACCTAAAGCAGGAGACACTTTCTTTGTTGGTTCATGCCTAGCATGAGTACTGATGCTTCATGATAGTGTTATACAAAATGCAGAGTATTTAACTCATTTTCCAGTGTACATCGTTCTAATCAGTGACCACTTACTCTGTGTTTCCAGCAAGGATGCATCCTAACTGTCATAAATGTATGTTTCTAGATTTCGTTGTCCACCAGATTTTGCCCTACCAGTCTGTTTCAGTGGATACATTCAACTCAAAGAATGATGTGTTTGTAGCTATTGCACAGCCCAGCATGGAGAACTGCATGGTGCTGGAGTGGGATCACATTGAAATGAATTTCAGGAGTTACGACAACATCACAGGTATATCAACACTGAGATTCCAGCCACTGATGAACTGGATAGGATTTGTAGGTGGGATCAGTTTATTGAGTATGGTCCTGAATCTCTGTTGAATTTGGCTGATTGAAGTGAGTGATGTTTGGACATGAGTAGTGCATCTTGTTAATACATGCACATTTAACCTTACAAACTAGGCTTTTTTTGCCCAATCTTAAACTTTTCTGAAGGCACAAACACTTGCTATAAATGTCATACCTTGGCCCAGCTTAGCATTCACTGCCTCAATCACACAGCAAGTTAAAGCAGAAGCTGAAGGAGCACTTGATCTTGCCAAAGTGCCTACAAAACAAAATATAAAAACAATCTATTGCATGTTGTAGGAAACAGGTCTGAAGGATGCTTGTAGGGTGAGCTGACCAGGAAGACAGCTGAAAATATTTAAACTGTGATTGTTACCTAAAGAGATGTACTGTAAACTTCAGCATTTACTTTCAATTTACAAATATGCTCAATTAACTTCTTGGTCAGATTACTGACCAAACAAACAGCCTGTGTGGATGCCAGGTGATGTTCTAATGCTGAGTTTCTAACAACTGTTCTGACCCTAACCAACACTTGTGGTGCTCAGTCACACCATGACAGCAGAGACAGAGTCTTCAAAGCTGTTTTCTGCTGCCTGTTTTCCCAGATACTCCAAGCCAGAGGTTTTGAATACTCAGGAGCTAAATCATCAAAGGAGCATCTTTTCCTCCTGTCCTTGTTGTGTGTGATCGATTATTTTTTACCTATATTTTGGGAGACATAGAGTATGCTGTGTCCTGCTCTGGTGTGGAATTCTACAAAGGCAGCAAGCACTTACCTCTCAGATCAGCTGCGTGTGTCACTAACAAAATCTTACAAGAAGCTACCCCTCTGTCATGAAATTTTTGAAACAAAACCTGTTGCTTTTTTAGGTTTCATTGTGTTTTGGTAGATTAGGGTAAAAAATGTATCAGGGATGTAAACTGAGAATTCAACAGCTCAGAGAGAGCTAACTGAGCCCTAGAAAATCTCTGGGAACTAAGTTGGGAGTTTGACTCATTTGCAAAGATAGCAAACACTAGATACACACTTCCAGGTGTATTTCATCTTCCTTTGAATGATTTGATTAGGAGACATTTCTGCAAAGGATTTTTGTCCTAGCTCCACACCCAGAGCTTGCTCCTGGAAGGTCTGAGCTCTGGACTCTGAAATGTACATGAGCCTGATTTTTGCCAGGGGACACAGGAACATAAAGAGCCTCCTGCAGAGACTGAAGAGTGTTTTGTAGAGCTCTGGAGCCAGCTCCACAGAGAATTTCACTACTTACCATATGCTTGGCATTTGGATATCTAAATTTAGCTCTTTTTACAATGTGGGCTTTTGGAGCTGAGCTAGTTGTCAAGATTGCCTTTAGAGTGAAGTGAAGAGAAAAGCATTGCTGTCCTCTGCAGAAGGAGACAGGTGAAAGCTCTTCTAGAGTTTGTGTTTTGACTAAGTTAGATCAAAAGGAGCCTGGATGATCAGCTTGACCATTCATGCCTGTGCTGCAGATCCCTTGCTGTACTTGAGGTGAAGGTACACCCAGCTCTCCTACACTGCGAGGGTGGCAGGTCATCCCAGGCCAGCTCTGAAAGCCACAGGTAGGGGACCAGCAGAGGAGCCAGGGTAAATCTCCATAGTGGCTGACCAAGGATGCACTGGGGAGCTTGGGCAGCTGTGGTTCTACCTAAACTGTGTGCTTCACAGAGGAATTCCTCTCTGCTTCCAACAACACCTATTGTAATAGTCTCATTTTTACGTTTTTGATGTGGTTCTTTTTAGTGCAACTTGACATTCTCAAGACAGACCATAACCTGATCTGATCTATCTGGCAACTGCAATATTGCTAAATATTTCTAGTTTAACAAAATCTCAAGAATACCTAGCACAAACTACAGAGTTAGATTTATCTTTTTCATCCTGCTGTCAGGGGATATATCCACAAGGTGCATAAATATTTCTATGTACAGTAGCAAAAAGCTGACTCTAATCCTTCTGGAGCAAGAAAAATATACTCTATTTCATTCTTCTAGTTAAGACAGAAAGATTACAAGAATAAGAGAATTTCAGATATTTGATGAATGACAAGATAAAAACCTTGTCATTTTTAATTAATAAAATTTAGCTTAAATAATTGTTTTGGATACCAGGGACCATGTGCTTGAACAAACAGAGAAATAAAAAGTATTTTGCAAAACAAGGAATTAGGATTTTATGGTACATCATACTTGCACACATTGCAGGGTGGGACAAGTCATCTCTCCAGTTATTGGGAAGCAAAAAGCTTGAGAAGATGCTCTGATGGCATGTAGCAGAAAACAAAATTATGAGATGGTGCAGGTTTAAAAAAAGGGGAGGGGTGATTTGGTAATAATGTCTGTGGTGTAAAGTGTGGCTTGTGCTGTGCTAATACATGTGTTGTTTTGTTTTCTTTCTTTGGGCAATAGGTCAGTCTATAGTGGGATGTAAAGCCGTTCTTGTTGGTGACCAAGTCTTTGTGGTGGTGGCACAGCTCTTTGGTGGCTCACACATTTACAAGTTTGATGAAAGCTGGACGAAGTTTGTCAAATTCCAGGATATTGAAGAATCTCGCATTTCCAAGCCAAACGATATAGAGCTTTTTGAGATAGACAGTGAAATGTTTTTTGTCATAGCAGATAGCTCTAAAGCAGGTTTGTCAACAGTGTATAAGTGGAATAACAAAGGATTTTATTCGTATCAGTCTCTTCACGAGTGGTTCAGGGACACTGATGCTGAGTTTCTCGATATAGATGGAAAATCATATTTAATCCTCTCTAGCCGTTCCCAGGTGCCCATTATACTCCAGTGGAACAAAGCCTCCAAAAAGTTTGTCCCACACAGTGAAATCCCCAACATGGAAGATGTCTTGGCTGTGAAGAGTTTCAGGATACAAGATGACCTTTACATCACACTCACAAGATTCATTGGTGACTCCAGAGTTATGAAATGGAATAGCAAACAGTTTGTGGAGATACAGGCCCTTCCATCCCGAGGAGCCATGACGCTGCAGCCTTTCTCCTTCAAGAACAATTATTACCTAGCCTTGGGAAGTGACTATACCTTCTCCCAGATTTACCAGTGGGATGGTGAAAAGAAGATATTCAGATTATTTAAAGAAATCTATGTGCAAGCACCACGGTCTTTCACAGCTGTGTCAACAGATCGAAGAGATTTTTTCTTTGCCTCTAGTTTTAAAGGAAACACTCAAATATTTGAACATATCATCATTGACTTGAGTTTATGAAAAGATGCTAGAGTGAAATTTATGTAGAATGACATTTATAAACAAACAAAACAAAAAGAGACCTTTCCAAAAACAGGGTGCACCTATGGAGTATGATGACATTTTCTGAACTTTTCAAACTTGCATATTAATCAGGGACTGCACTTACTTCGTTACTGCATGACATGTCCATTTTATCCTTTTTCAAAGACACTTTGCAATCTTCAGTCATTCAAAGAGGAGTGCAGTGCATTAGAATTAATGTTGACATCTAAGAAAATGATCTAAATTTAATCCAGCAAACTCCCTTGAGTCAAACATCTCATAAAGAAAAAGAAGAGTGAGCCATACAAGGCATAAAAATGATCTTGACTCCTAAAGTAACATTTTAGTAGTGTAGTTTTAATATTAGAGCCTGTTCTTCGTGGTTGCTGATGAATTGTAAAAGCAAGCAGGAATATTCTAGAATACACTGAGTTCTCTCTTCAAAATCTTTCTTTCTGGTTCACAGTAAATCCAAGACATCATTATAATTCTTTGCAGACTGAAGGGAGAGTCAAAATCTATTGCCGTTTTTCTACCATTATTCACTTTTTTCAGCAATAAATTGTGCATAACAAGTAGCCCAGCCCACAGTAAACAGGTGGCTAGGAATAGTGTGTCTCTTGAGGACCATGAGATCTTAGCAAGTTATTACAGATAGAAAATGTCAGAGGTCTGCATAATGCCATGAACAAATCAACTACAAGTCACATCCACTCTCTGTTTTAATAGGTATTTCAGAAATCCATTCCATTTTGCCCTAATTCATATTTTTCCTGATTTCCAGTAGATTCTGAGTGTTTAACATATTACTCCAGAAGGCAGGGCTTAAACTTTGCCTGAAACACATATTGACATTGATGCACCCCAAGTTGTAGCTCCTCTGGGCTCAGTGAGGTGATTTATTGCCTAGCATTTCCCACACAGCACAGCTCATTAGCAGTAAATTCAGGTTTGGGACATCCAAGTTGTATTTATGAAATCCTCCTTCTGGCTAAAGTCTAACTGTGACTTCAGTATTACCAAGTCATCTGAAACCAAGCTGTTGCAGCTGTTTCAGACTGGAGCTAATCCTGCCTCCAAGAAAGATTTCCACTGGTGAGTCCAGGCTGTTGCCAGCTTGCCAATCCATTGAAGGCTAATGAGGAGCATGTGGGCAGACTGTGCTTCATTGGTGTTTTGGGTGGTTACAGACCAAGCCATTCAGCCATCCTAATGACTCAGGGCAATCCTGGCACACAGAGCCTCTCTCAAGAAAACAGCAAGGGACTGTTTTCCAGGAAAGGGTCTTTGCCCCTCTTACCCAAAAAAATTGTGTATTAGAGCTCTTTTTTGTTCACTTACACAAGATATTTCTTTACATTTCCATACCACTTAGTCTACTAGGTTGTTTTGTCATGTCTTGCTGTCGTATTGCTGCCTTGGATAATATGGAGGTCTTGCATAAAGCAGGAGGAGCAAAGGAAACGATCCTTTATTCCATCATACTTAGGCCTATCTCACCATCCTTCTGCTGAGTGAGTTTGACATTTTATTCCTGGACATGGCCTATGATCACAAACAGAGATGTTCTCATAGGCTTTCCAATATCCAGAGTGTGAAGTGTGCTGCAGAAGAGGTTTACATATAAGAGCTCCCATGGGGTCATAACCTACCAGTGACCTGGCATGTCACAGTCTTCTCCAACTTTTGCCACTCTGCTATGAAATGAAGTTATTACTGGCCTGTCAGAGACATAACTGATCAACCCCTAACACATAACTGAAAATCATCCTGATTTTCAGTTATGTGTTAGGGGTTTTTTTTCCTACAGAGTTGTTCAACCTGCTTTTGTTTTTAGCTACACTGGCAACCTGGCCCATCCTACCCTCTGAGATACTGAGTGCTGCCCTCTGAATCCCAATGGGGTCTCAGTCCCAGTGGTTCAGTCAAGACCAGTAGATGCAAACCAACACTCTGCAACAGGGTTTAGCAATACCTCTCCTAGGATTAAGCTAACAAATCTGACAAAACAAACATACTCGTGTCTGCCAGTGAATGCAATTTCTTCCTATGTTTCAAGTTTACTTTTTAAAGTGGATATGGCTGGCAAGCAATAAGCCTATGTTGTGGGAAAGCATTTTGTATTGCTTTTGTGTTAAGCATGCAAGTTTCACTAGAGTTAGATATTCTGATGAGGGTGGCATTTCTCAGTGCACCAGCACTTTATTTTAGGGCTCAACTGTGAGTTCTAGTAACTCAGGAAAGGGCATCAGTCAGCGTGAAAAGCTAGTTTAGAGAAATAGGATCCTTGAAGGGAAGCAAGAGTATGCTGGAAAAAGGCTTGTGTATTGAATACCAGGAGATTGTACTGTTTCAAGAGCCAAGGGGATTTTGAGACTTGGCTATCAAGTTGGATTAAATTAAAATGGTATCTGCAGAGACAGGCTTAATAAAGAGGATAAAGTGATCCACAGGAGTCTAGCTCATTCACATGGGACCAGAAGAAGAGAGTGAGGGAAATTAATTCTGCGGGCAGGCTGCTGCTTCTGTAGAGTAGCTGTGTTGGTTGGTCAGAAAGCCCAGCTCAGCATCTCTCCCAGCCTCAGGAACAGCCTGGAGCCAGACACTGGCCTGCCTGTTCTGCTGAGCTCATGTACAGGAGGTCAAAGCAGCTAAGAGCAAGGACAAAAAGCACCAGTTGAAATAAGAAAAGGTTATGGTACCTTTCACAGCATCAAACAAAGGCAAGACCTCAAAAAGAGCCTTGTTCTGCTCTTCCTGCTCCCAAGGAAAAGCTGCAGGATGCATGCATAAAACAGAAATTGTTAATCATTGAAAATCCTTTCTGCCTTTCCAAATGCAACCATGGTTTTTCTCCATTGCCTATATTCTGTAATAGAAATTGTTTTGAATAGTAAATAAAATATGCATATTCATAATTCGTTAAAATGTTAGACCATCAGGACAGTGAAAAAGGATAACAGAACATGCCACTGATAATTTTTAATGTATTCTAAAATACATAAATTATGTAAAGTTCATCAGTTTATATAAGCATTGATTTAATATGCACTAGCTATAGCAGGAGCATTTTAAGGTTGTATATACATTGAGCTTTTTTTAGTAAAGAGGAGCTGATGCAATCTATGCTACTGACATGTGTATGTACTCTTTCAATATATGAATAAAATGCAGTTAATGTGACTAATAGTGGTGTGTCACACATGTTAAAATATCCACGTCACGAACATCCACGCTGCCAGAGGAATTGACAGAGTGGGCAAACGGGTCCCTGTCTATTTATGATCGTGTTTGGCTTTTGACAAGGTGGAGAAAGCCATGCTCAGATTAGTTAATCTTTCTTCTGTGCCTGAGATAGTTCGGACTTCCAAGGTTTTGCTGTTCCCTGATTTTCCCCTTCACTCTTTCCTTACACCCCATCTAGTGTTAGCAAGTAAGTAACGCAGCTATTGCTGTGAGTTTTGTTCATGAGCTGTTCTTTCTTTCCACAAAGTAAAGAGATCTTGATTTTCAAAATATTTTTTAAAAAATACTTAAGTGGATTTCTTACATGCTGAGTAAATAGGAACCAAGTCCTAAAATTACTTCCAAGACTTTCAGATCTATGCTCTGGGCAAAACAAAATCTTAAGATTTGTTAAATTTTACTGAATCATTAACATTTATTCTGAAATTGAAAAAAAAAGTAAATCTATCAGCAGTGAATACACTTTATTTAAAGCAAACCTTGAGTGTTGTCCATTGATCCTGCTAGTCACTAAGACACAGGATAATTCTTTTGTTTCCTCTTAGTTCTTCAGAAATAGCACAACTCTCTGTAACTAATTATAGCCTTGTGCAATCAAAGACATGTCTGACATACCATAATGGGATGCAATTGCTGGGATCATTGCTTTCCTTTTGGGTATTCCACCTTTTTATGAGTCAGCAGCCCTTGTGGTGTGGTTCACTGAAACTCCATCACAGCTCAAACATCAGTAGCAAATCAGCACTATCTACCTTCCCCTGCTTTCTTTGCCCTTGCTAGGTGAACATTTTTTCCCATACATTACCACATTCTTCAAATCTTCCTTGGAAAGTATCTATTACTCCTTGAAAGTCATAGCAAGATACCAAGAGAAAAGCATTCCTAAAAAGCAATGCAGGATGGTCACTCCTGCAAATTTCTAGGGGAAGACAGAGCAGGGTGTTTTTGAAAGGTCAAGCTAAAGGCAGATGTGCAAGAACAGCTGTAAGAGTCCCATTCATCCCCTCAGTCCCACTCTCTCTTGGCCCACAGAGATGAGCTGCTACCACTGCTCCCTCTTGGCAGCAGGAATTACTGAGATTTCTTTTTCACTCCCTATCTCAGTAGCAATGGAGCTGAGCTGTTATAACACTGGTTGGGTTTCTTTTTTTACTTCCTAGCAAGCCAGGTACTTGATAACTCTTGCATTCCACATATAGTTAGCCTTCTTTATGAGAAACTGCAGGCTTGATGATCTAACTGACTTCAAAACTGACCTTTGGAATCAACAAAGCCAGCTGGCCACATGATGTTAGATCCCCCACAAAACAAGAGACTGATACTGTGAAAGAAGTTCAAATAGCAACCACAAAAACCTAATCTATCCCATAAGCCATTGCCATTCTTGCCCCAGAATCATGTGATGAGGAGTCCAACACGCCCATCATTAGCAGGGACATCTTCAATTACACCAAGTTGCTCAGAGCCCTGTCCAACCTGACCTTGAATATTTCCAAGGATGGGGCATCCATCACATCTCCAGGCAACCTGTTCCAGTGTTACACCACCCTTATCTTAAAAAAATTATTCCATCTACTCTGAATTTATGCTCTTTTAGTTTAAGACCATTACCCCTTGTCCTGTTGCTACAGGCCCTACCAAAAACTGTTCCCATCTTTCTTATAGGCCTCCTTTAAGTACTGAAAGGACACAATGAGGTTTCCCCGGAGCCTTCTCTTCTCCAGCAACACCAACCCTCTCACTG